TAAATTTTGAACACAAAAAAAGTTACGGACTGCAGCTTTAAGTAATTCTATACAATTTTAAACATCTATCTTCAGGCTGTGGTACATCTTTCAGCTGTAAAATCTTTACAGATTTTTGAAGTAGACATAACATTAACTTATTATTAATATTTCAAGATGAACAATTATTGAACTGAGGAAAATTAGGTTTACTTAATTACTTACAGCAGAGTTCATGTTCAAAACAGACAAACCAAAAAATATCTTACTGACCCCAAACCTTTGATTAATAGTGTGTGCACTGCAGCACCTAAATGCTAAGATCCATCACACGAGTCTTGGAATTATAATCAACTTTAGTGCTTTAAGGCGTATGTATATTTTCATACATAAACGTCACATTTAAGTATGAAATACAACAGTTGTATTTCGAGTAATTATCCAAACAAACATTAGCACAAATACTCAAAGTGAGTAGTGTTCCAGTTCTGTACCAAAGTAAATCTGCAATTGTGAAATAATACCGTTTGCAGAAAAGAAACCTGAACATTATTATCTGTGCTATTTGATGTGAATCCACCTCAAGTCATTCTCGAGCAGCACTGACAATATTTTTACTTGCATATACCCATACATTTTTTGCCCATCTAGATTCAGGGAAACATTTAAAATCCCTAATTGTCAGTTTGGCTTGTTATACAGGCACACATGAATGTAAGGTTATGTATTTCAACTGAATTTGAAATATAATTGCTCAAGAAATTACATCCCTTTAAGTAACTGCATTTGCTCACTTTTGACTCTTGAGGAATGAAACCCGTTCACCCTTATATATCAAAAGTATACTTACAATGCATGGGAGTGTTGTACTAGTATAAATAATCTAAATCAGTCTACTTGCAGCCCAGATGGGGCACTCAGAGTCATTAATCCATTTGTAAACTCATTTTCTTTCATTGCACACTCTGTGACAAACACGGCATTGGCCATCTGCACAAGTGCCATTAAGTCTTCTCTGAGGCAACAGGCCTATGTGAAATGTAAACTTCAAACACAGAGAAACGTTGCATACATTTTGGTCACTTTGACGATGCTGGACAGCGCAGTCTGAGTTAAAGCTGATTTTGGCCCTTGTGACGATGTGCTGTCATTTCTATCTTACGTGGCATTGGAGGAGCAGCGCTGGAGGAGCAGAGCGTGGCAGGTGTCACAGACTCTCACGGGTTTGGGTGAAGCGGGGAGCGGTAGCTCATTATCCGAGCAGGTGTTGCAGAAGATCTCCCCACAGTTCCTGCAGTGGTGCTGTTCAAACAAAGACAAGCAAGAGAGCTTTCAATTAAAGGGCCTGTTGGTGTTTTTTGTGTGGTTTGGATCAGACTCAAAATGACTCTGTGGGATCTTCACTACTGATATTCATCCAAACAGTTGCTCTGTGGAATTTCCTTTTAGTTGTTTTTCATAGAAATTAAATATATAAATCAGAAGTGTTCAGAGTAAGGTCCCCTTTAACGATAAAACAGGACATTGTGACATACATCAAAGTCAAATGGATTATCGAAATGAATAATGAATATCAAACAAAAAAGTAATGCAGGATTTGGTTCAATGCGTCAGTTCTTGATTGGATGGAGGCAGATCTGAATGTCGGCTTAATTGTATGAAAAGGGGCTGGGCTAAATCCGTGTCCCAATTCAGGGGCTGCATCCTAAGAAGTCCACAAATGTCGAGCTGAACGTTGTTAAATGGAAAAGTCTAGCTAGCCTATTCTTGTCGCCTAGCAACTGACAGCCGCATTTGACGAGCAGCAGTAACATTTGAAAAGGACTTGAAACTAGAGATTACTGTTTATAACGTTTTAAATGTAGATGTATTTCTTACACAAATGCATCGATTGGCTTCAGAAGGCCTTTATTAACCCCCTGGAGCTGTGTGGAGAACTTTTTATGATGGATTTATGCTTCAAAATCTTGAACCCCATTCACTGCCATTATAAAGCTTGGAAAAGCCAGGACATTTTTTAATATAACTCCGATTTTATTTGTCTGAAAGAAGAAAGTCATATACACCTAGGATGGCTTGAGGTGGAGTAAATCACGGGGTAATTTTCATTTATGGGTGAACCATGTAATCTGCCATTTTCTCTCTCTCAAATAAAAAAAAAAGAAAGAAAGTCCTGTTGTCTCCAGGGCACGATGTCTAAGCCTTGCCACGTTGTATCCTTCTAGATAGGTACACAAAGGACTCAATTTGAGGACGCATTTGAAGGAGACTTCGAAATGGGACATTTGTCGCACCACTGTGACACATTCAATCTCGGGATGCAGCCTCTGAATTGGAACACAGCTTAAATGTGTGGAGAAGTCTGGCATGCGTCACCAGAAAGAAGTTGTCATTTCACTGGAGGATCAAGTTATGACATTTTGGTTAATTATTAAGAGGTCCCAAAAAAATTAAACATGTATGGCTGAATCCTTCACAGTAGGATGGATAACAGGCATTTAGAATTTTTCTTTTCATTTCATGCCGACTTCAAGAGTACAGAGCATCATTTGCCAACTCGGTCTTTTATTCAGGTGTCATCTAATCCTTATTTGGAAATGCATAAATCCAGTACGTTCCTTGTGCCAGTAAATTTCTTTATTTAGAGCAGTTGAATTAGTGTGGATGTGTGAGAATGGACAGCAAGCTGTGATAGAGACACCGTTGTGTATTACAGAATAGCATTTTGGTTCTGACCTTTCTTCTGGAGATTGAAAATTCCTTCTCACAAAGTTTGCAATGCGTAGCATCTTTGTCCTTCAGCCAGACCTGTCCACCCTGTTTAATATAAACATGTTAAACTACAGAAGGTTGATTAAATTTTGACAGTACAAAA